CAAGGCCAGGTGGGACAGAGCCTTGGGCGCCATGGTCTAGTGTGAGGTGTCCCTGCCCGTGGCAGGGGGTTGGAACTGGATGATCTGAAGGTCCTTTCCAACCGAGGCCAGTCTGGGATTCTGGGATTCTCTGATGTATCTTGATTTGGTCTCTTCCAGCGTTCGTCACTCTGCTGAATGGAGAGCAGGCACAAAACGCCATTGGGAAGTATCACCAGTATTCTCTTCGGGGAAAAGAGATATCAGTGCAACTGCAGCCGACAGATGCTTTGCTGTGCATTACCAATTTACCCACTTCGTTTACCTTGGAAGAGTTTGAAGAACTTGTGCGTGCCTATGGCAATGTTGAGAGGTGTTTCTTGGTCTATAACGAAGTTACTGGCCATTCCAAGGGCTACGGCTTTGTGGAATACATGAAGAAGGACTCCGCTGCCAAGGCCAGGCTGGAACTTCTGGGGAAGCAGTTGGAGGAGAGCACTCTCTTTGCACAGTGGATGGACGTGAACCAGCTCACCCCAAATCTTATTCACTCTAAGTGCCTTTGTGTGGAGAAATTTCAGAAAGACTGTGCTGACTCCAAAGAACTGATCCAAGCTTTCTCCCTGAAGTATAAACCTGTGTTCTGCCAGGTATGTTCAGTTTGTATCTTCTGGAAGGTCAGGGTTGTGATTTAAGTAGCTCTGTATTTCTGTGATTCCCTGCTTGCTTCCTAATACTTGTGTTTTTCATGTAAGTAGTGAATGGTTCTGCATCTGCAGTGTGATGTATGCTGTGGTACAGCTGCTTTCTTGGTGCGGGTTTGCAGTGGTGCTGGGTGTTAGCTGGGGATTGTGCAGAAGACTCCTGTGAGCACCAGTAAAATGTTTGTAGGACATCCCCTTCCTCGTGCTTTTGATTGAAAGCCAATTTAGAAATATTTCAGAGAGCCTTTGAAGTGCGCATGGCTGTTGGTTTTATTGCTCAGTAAAGAAAGCAAGCCTGTGAGTCTATGAGTACCACAAGTGCAACAGTTTAGATGGTGGAGAATATATATATAAACGCACATATGTGTGTGTGTGTGTAATTCATATATTTAAGAAATGTCTGCAAACATCAGATGCTGTTTTTCCCTAACTGAAGAAGATGTAGCTTGGGATCTATAAACGGGCAGTAGAAGGAAAGCTTGCTTTATAGTAAAATGGTTGGCTATGACTTCAGTTGTTGGTTTGGGGGGGGTTCTTTCTTAAGTATCTTGGAAAGCTGCTCAGGGATTAGTTTGAGGGATAAGTAATCCGAGATCCTCAGCATCTCAGACCAGAAGGTCCATCAGGCTGTCTAGCCTGACCGCCTGCAGGCTGTCACACTGTCCCCAGTGCTCTTTTCAAGACCCAGTAATTTGTAGTTAGCTGGCTTACTAGTATGGTTAGTTTGTGAGTCTACCCTTACACTTGCTTGGTCCAAATATAGCAGGAGATGCATAAATTGACAGTAATTCTTCCCACAAACTGGCCATCACTTCTTCTTTGTCTGTTTTCTCAGTTGAATGTATCTGGCTTCAGCTTCTCCTCACTGATGACTAAGTTGAGGAGCTTTTGATCCCCACTGTTTTCATCCTGTAAGAAGGTATTAAATGCTGTCATCAAGTCACTTGCTCAATCTTTGTTTAACGAGCTGAACAGGTTGAGCTTTTCAAGTCTTTTCCTTAAGAGCTGTTTTCCAGCTGTCAGATAATCTGGAGGCTCTTATCAGCTCCTCCAAGAAGTTTTCAACATCCTTTACCAATTCAGAAGCCCAAAGAATAAGAGGGTGCTTTGATGAAGATGGTTTTCAGTAACCTGTGCAGTTAGAGGCTTTTACCTCCCTTCTCAAATCATAATGATATGTGTCGCAGGTGAGGAGGAGTTAAGGTGCGTGCTTTTGAATTAAGAAATAGGCACATAGCCAGGAAAATATTCTTGGTGTGTCCTCATATTACCTGTCACTTGTAGAAATACACTGTGTAATAGACTAACAGGTGGATTGTAGAATCATAGAATCCCAACCTGGTTTGGGTTGGAAGGGACTTTAAAGCGCATCGGGTTCCAACCCCTGCCACAGGCAGGGACACCTTCCACTAGAGCAGCTTGCTCCAAGCCCCTGTGTCCAACCTGTGTCCAAGCTGGCCTTGAACACTGCCAGGGATGGGGCAGCGACAGCTGCTCTGGGCACCCTGTGCCAGCGCCTCAGCACCCTCACAGGGAAGATATTCCTTATATCCAGCCTGAACTTCCCTGTTTAGGTTTAAGCCCATCACCCCTTGTCCTAGGTATCAAACGAGCTGTGTTCTCCAGAGCTCTTCCCAGAGGCCAGTCTTCAGCAGTGCCGTTAAAGATCTGACCACCCTCTTCTTCCAGCTACTTGAGATTTCTATTTCAGTTGTTGTTTGTGGGACCTAATTGCTGGGACCAGGCTGGGAATTTTATCCAGTGAAATCTTGAGGATATTCCCTTTCTTCCACCCCAGAACTAGTATCAGTACATCATTTCTGTTCATTTTGGGATGGAGATTTTTTGCCTCAGCTTCATTCCCTCCCTTCTCACCCCTTTTTGTTTGTTTAATTTCAGTCTGCTCATTCTGCTATAAAACTCTGCAAACAAAGGACAGAGCATTGTTTCACACATAAGCCTGTTTCCAGTCTGCTTGATTGATCAGTCTGGCATCTTCTCTTGGCATTCGATACAACCACAGACTTCATATCCTCCTGAAAGGGAGCGTATATCAGTGGAATTCGCATTGTTACATGTTTCAACAACTATCATGTAGTGGGATGAACACCATTTTTGTTACTGGAGGCTTAAAACTGAGCAATAATGAGTTTATAATTCTTATCTTGTGAACTAAAGTCATTGTATCCTACAGCTGTATTTACATTTTCCTTCTCATTCCTTCTTTATTCTGAAAACACGTGTTAAATACATTTCATAGCTCAGGCTCTCCATGAGATTAGATGGATGGGAAACTGGTGATTCAGGTAAATAGAGCATGCATGCCAAATGTCATAAAAAGATGAAATATTCAACTTCTATCCAGCATGTTTGAGAAAGAGCCATACTGATTTGGGCAGGCATGAACATCGGGTGTCAGCTGCCAAGTCTTTTGCAAGGGATGTGTGGAAATCCTGCAAAGCAGTCCCTGAAGTTCCCCATTCGATTCAGTGTGTTGTGAAATGCTTCAGTTTGCTCAGGATGAAGACAGTAACATCGGTGACTTTGCGGTGGTGGAGTATGAAACTGCAGAGCAGGCTGAGAAGGTACAAGAACTCACGGATGGAATGACTGTCAAAGGAAAGAGAGTGCAGGTGTCCTACTGTGCTCCGGGAGCCCCAGGCAGAAGCACGTTGGCAGCACTTATAGCAGCACAAAGGATGGTAAGAGACTGGTAAATCTGTTTTCAGAATGAGTTTGCTACACCTTGAGCAGCCTGAGGTGGGCAGGCTACCTTTGTAGCAGGAAAAGGAGCCAAGCTTTTGGAAGCATGAGCCTTTATGTGTAGCTAGTCAGCCTAATTCAGTCTCCTTCCTAGGCAAAGCATGGCCATATAGCGCAAGGAGGAAGCGTAAAATACGGCCATAAGATACCACAAAGTTACACTTAAATAGCTCTTAATAAACTTAGTTATCTGTAAGAGAAATTGTTCCCGTTCAAACCAGAAGTAACTGGAAGTGGAGTCATTTGAGAAGCTAAAACTTGGTTTAAAACAGAGGGGCAAGAATTTGTCCATTTCAAGATAAATTTCAAGGTAGGAAGAATAGTTCAATTTCATGGTCGATAAAGAAGAAAGCTTTTTACACCCACACGTCTTACCAAATTATTTCCTAGGAAATTGGGTGTGATAGGTGTTACATGAAGCTGTCTTAGATGCAGAAGCAGAACAGTTTCATTACTTCAGCTAGCTTTAGCCCACGTCTTTATAAGAGATGAGTGGTGCTATTGTAATATGTGGTGTTCATGTTAACAGTGCCTTTCATATTCCTCTTTATTGACAACTCTGTCGTGGTTTAAGGGGAAGAAAAGAAATATGTCTCAGGAAAAATAATGTGCTTGAAGTTTGGGGGGAAGAATTTGTTAGGTGCTGCACTGGAGGAAAAGGAGCAGGAAACAAGGAAGGAGATGTTACTTCTGTGTACAATGAAATGTGTATACCATCATCACACAAGTTTGAGGGATTTAAATGTATTCTTTGTTTTCTCCTGATTCTAACATCTTTGTATCTCTCTCAATTGGAGATGAGGAACAACAGGAAGGGCTTGCTTCCAGAGCCAAATCCAGTGCAGATTATGAAAAGTTTTAATAACCCAGCAATGTTGCAAATGCTGCTGCAGCCCCAGTTGCGTGGACATGCTGTTAAACCTGGTAAGTGCCTTTAAAACAACAGAGGTGAAAAGAGAAACCCTGTTCTTGGTGATACAAGGCTTTCAGCAAAGGAGAGAAGCAGGAATACTGTTTTACAATCTTTGCAGGCACTGTTTCAGTGTCTGTGTGTAGACACTTCCACATTTTATGAATGCAAAGGTCAATCCCTATCCTGTTGTGTTTAGTTGTTACCTAAAAATGTCCTTGCATTAACACTGTGGTCTCTGAAGGTTTGTATTAGAAATATGTTTAAAATGAAATGTCTTTTGCAGACATCATTAAAGTGGCAAGTTTAAGTCTGATTCTAGATCTGAATCTTGCAGCCTGAGCATTTCTCCTGTTGTTGCCAGTGTAAGTCTTTATTCACTTGGATGCTACCATAGTTGTACACAGCGTTTCACAGAATCCTAGAATGAGCTAGGTTGGAAAAGACCTTTAAGATCATCAAGTCCAACCTTTACAAAGGTCAAAAACATTTCTCTATCTTCTCATTAGGGTGGATGTGAACACATAACAAGCAATCTTATCACATTTCAAATAGTGAACCTATTAGGAACAGATAATTTCAAGAGTCAAGTAGGGAACAGCTAAGGGTTTGTGACATAATCCACTGACAGCAAATGCACAGAAATGGTGCGTGAAGTGACCAGTGAAGAAACACTTTAGCTAATGCTGGCCATTCAAAGCACTTTAGATAAAGCTGTGCTCTTGCAATCAGCTGCAGGCATTCTGCTTCTTGGAGTGAAACTCTCAGCTTTAGAGAAGCCCCTTGAGGGTATATGTTTGATCTCTCAAATCAGATCAAAGCTGGACTTATTGAAAGGTTTCATTTTAGTGACCCTTAGTACACTGACCGATATCATGGAAACCAAATCTAGAAAACACAGAGTAACTCTTAAAAAGATTTGTACTTGCCTGACTTGCAAAACACTGCAACTTCTTCTTGTGTTTCTCAAGCAGTTCTTGGAGCATCTGCAGGTTTACCTCACCTTATAAATTCAGCAGTTGGGCCACCTTTTTTGCAGCTGAATAAAGTTCATCAGGTATGTGAGAAAGTAACTTTTATCCAATAGATGTTTGCAGAGATCTCAGCATGAAAAATACATGCAGGGTTTCAAGAAATTACAACTAAAATCAAATGTTCTTGTTAAAGATGTCTTTAAGCACTCTATTAGGAGTTGCCTATGGGGGATGTATGAGCAGACTGTGCTTGCTGTCCCCAAGTGAGTTATTTTACCTTAACTGAGCTCTTGATTTGCTACCACCTGCTGATGTAGAGACAACTTACTATTACTGGCAAAAATCCTTTTTAAATTGGAGCTTAAGGAGCATGGCACCTCCATTTCTCTTCAAGCTGCTCATACACACTTCCTGTAGAGACTTGATTGTTTTATCTCGCTCAGGTAACAAGCTTAGCATCATTATCTTCACTTTAAAGCTTGCAGGGACCAAAATGTGCTACATATGCCCTAAAAACCAGTGATTTGCTGATGTTACTTCTTAGTAAAAAAAAACAAAACCCGAGGTTATGTTTCAAGTGTTCTCAGAGTATCTGTAATTCGAGATGGACAGGGGAATTTCTGAAAGGTTTTCTTGAACCTTCTTTCTTATTCTGAAAGTTTATTAGTTGTTATTTCTGCTGTTCTTTCGGCAAACACAAACTTACTGAGCTTACAGAAGACCAAATTAAAATGCAGAGCTGCTCCTATGGTAATTCTATTTAGCTTTGCTATTTTTTTTTCTGCCCAAAACTGGTAGGTGAATATATTCATTTTGAATAAACGCCACTTAATTTTGCCCCATCAGATGAGTTGCTTATGTCCTGTACTGTGAAAAAAGATCCATCTTTTTTTGCTGGTACTCCATTTCAGTGACATTTTCAATTGTTATATTTAGTCACTGCTGTTCTCTCTTCAGCCTCAGAGAGCCTTATGCTTCCTTGGAAGGCAATGTGAATGTTTTCTAATCACAGCTGGAGGCAGGCGTGGTTTACACAGTTAACAGTGTGATTGATGATGATCCAGTGTCTTTTAAGTGCTGCAGCCAAACAACTTAGTGTTTTCTCTTTAGATGCTACTTCTCTTCTGGGAGCTTCCTGTCATTTAATTCACTCCAAACCTGGTCTAATAGCCTGAATTTTAGGGATAATGATTTGATTATGCCAGTTGCTTCCATTAGGCACATTTTTCTGTTATTCAGTGACTTCTTTCAGACTATTCTTTAAAGCCAGAGAACCAGGTCACTTTTTATTGCCTTGAAATTCAGTATTGTCACAAGATAGAGTAACAGCAGTGTCCTGGCTTGACACTCTCCCCACCTCCCCAGTCACACACTGATTCAGCTTCCTGTATATCTTGGTTTTGCTAATTCCTATTCAAGGGTTTGTAAAGTAATATGATGAGAAGAAGCAATATTTTAGGATGATTATGCCAGAACATTATAAAATAATTGAGGAAAAAAGGTTCAACAGAGGGGAATTTGAACAAATGGGTTTTCAACTCTGGAGGTAGCATGACTTTCAACTTCATTTAATTTCTCTTAGTTACAATATGAACCAAGGGAATGTGTTTTAAGCTTTCTCAGGGATGTGTTTTCCTCAGTTTATTAAATCTTTATTAATCCGGAGGCTTTCTTTTGAGGATCCCAACCAAACTGATTCTCCACTCTTGTATTTCTGGAAGGTTTGCAGTTGAACTAACACATTTTCTTCGTTGCCATAACCAAGTTTAGAAGGAACAACCACTGGTCTTGGTGACGCTGGAGAGCACCAAGACAAAATATGTAACTAATCTAGTTATGGCACTTTTTGTTTTAAATTGCACATTTCTGAGTCCAGAAGACCATTTTCTAGGCACAGAGGGGTTTTCCCTAGGGAATTTGACCCTACCACATAGGGACACAACCTAGACTTGAAAATATTTGTGAGGTTTTAGCAGGAGGCTGCAAAATCTGCAAAGCCATGCACTGGGAGAGCTGCCTTTTGGGGTTCCATCTTCATTACCTGCTTTTGGTGATCTTCTCTCTGTAGGAGACCTCAAAAAAATGAGGGAGGCTATATTTGTCATGATTTGACACAGTCAGTGCCCCATGGATCTATTCTTGTACTGCTGTACAAAAAGGTTGGTAGAGCAGCCTATATTTTGCCTGGCAAATCATGCTCAGGAGCTGCTGCTGCTGCCAGAAGGACAGTTTTAGGCCCATATTCAGCTAGTGTGAATCATAAGATGGTTTTGTGATCCAGAGCACGTAATGCTGAATATACCAGTAGCAGAGTCTGAACGTGGTGCTCCAAGTTGGTGATGAAGTGGCTCGGTTTTGGTGGCAAACTGATCCAGAATGCTTTTGAATGAAAAGTATTAATATTTTATAGACTTAGCAATTTGCAGGCCCTGTGATTTATAAGCTTTTTAATGGTTCTGGAATAGAATTTTCAGTTGCCACTGAAAAGGGGGAAAAACATACCTGGGTATTTCTCTTTGAAAGCAAATGTACTGTTTGGTAACTGTAAAGCAAGGGCTCAGAGTCCCTGCCAGTTACAGCTGGGTCCTGTAAGGTATATAGATGTTTGGTGAGGATTAGGTATTAGAATTGCAGTGCAAGGTACAATGCAAATGTTAACAAACAATGAAGCCCTTATTCACAGAGCTCATAATCCCTGAAGTCCCTGTGTCTCATCTTTCTTACTGGCACTGTAGGTAACTATCTAGTCTGTCTGCGGAGCCTTCAAACACATTCACTTTTCCCTGTTGGGTTGAACACAGGCTGGATTGTATTTGGAGTATACTTGATCCTTTAAAAGCCATCAGAAAGCATAGTTGTGGTTGTGAGGTGAAAAAAGGGTTAATGGGAAGTTAAAAGAACTTGAAACAACTATCTATGAATGAGGCAAAGGAAGAAACAGTTATTTTTCTTTGCTGCATTAACCCAGAAACTAATTTAAACTTCTTTAAGCAGTATCATCTGAGAATGTTTCCAGAATACACTGTTTCCCATGAGTGCCAACTAACACTTCTTTTAATAATTCCAGAGTTCACTTCTGGGGAGTGCATCTAACTTACTGCTGCAGAGCCCTGCTCAGATGCCACTGCCGCAGCAGCAGCTGATGAAGATAGAAAACCTTCAGGCTAATAGTGTAAGGTCATCCCTTCAACTTCTTTGGGCACCCTTATAACTGCTCAAATAAATAATGTTTTTCATATAATTTAACAGTTTAGTGTATCTGAAAGGATTAACTGAATGTGAGTTGTCAGAAACAGCTACAGATAGATTGTTTTAATCATTGACACAGTTTTCTGTTCTTCCTTATAGAAACCGGGTTTGCTGGGAGAACCTCCAACAATGCTCCTACAGACAGTACTGGGACTAGGGGTAATGCCATCAGTGAGTTCAGGCCTGGGAACCCGTGCAGAAGCTCTGAAGTGTAAATGACATTTTCTTTCCTATCAAATCAGTGGAAATGCTCAGCTTGAAGTGATGCACCTTCCTTTCCCCTTCTGTAGCAAAAGCAATAGTATGTTTGAACCTTATACAGTGAGGTAGGCAGGGAGTTGGGCAATAGCAAAGTTTATAGCTGTGTAGTTAAGCAAGGTAGCAAGTTTTATATCTATATAAACAGCTATAACCTGCTGGTTTGAGCAGGAAGCAAACTTGAAATAGCTCGCCTTGTTGCCTGGCTTCTCTCATCTCTGTCAGGGAAGGGGGAGTACACTGCGGCACTGGTTGAACATTTACAGGTTGTTAAATATTCAGTTACTATAATTTTCAGTACTCTTGGAATGTGTTTGTATGTAGGACTACAATTTGGGGGGTTACTGTTTCAAAGCAGATAAATCTGAGTCGCTGAAGAGGCACCACAGATAGCAGTGTGTGTGGGGGGGGTGTTTGCATTCCTTTCATTAAGCAATAGAGCTTTAACATCCAGTCTGTGATGGACATCGGTTTTGAATGGAAATTCCTGTGCCAGGGGTGCCCTCAATTTTTATGAGGAAAGATCAGTTGTCATACTGCTGAGTGCATCTTTTGTTGTTTCCCCCACTGAAAGCCACACATTCTTGCAGTTCTACATGTGGGCTGAGTAATGCTAGTAACCAGAAGCAAGGAAAAGCTTGCAGAGGGCAGGATGGTGGGGAGGAAACCAACGCTGAATGTCTGGATTTCAATTTTGGAGAATAGTTTCTAGCTCTTTTGTTTGTCAAATTAATTTTACTAATGCCAGTTGGGGTGGAGTTTTCCCCCTCTATTCCAGTGCAGGATCCTCTGCAATGTTCACAGGTTCTTTAAAAGCAACAGGAACACTTAAGTAACCTACTGTCATAATGCATGTTTAGGAAAGTCTGAGTTTTCTTCTGTTGTATTAAATAGAGTTGTCTGCTCCTGGGGGAAGAGAGTAAAAGCTATCATCAGAATGCAGTGTGCTGGGATAGCTGTAAACCAGATCTCCCAGTGTTTTTCTCATCACTTAGTAAACCCCACAAGCAAAGTGTACTGATAAATCTTGTCAGACAGAAAAGTTTCTCCATTTATGGTTGACTGCAGCATCTAATCTGACTCCAATTCCAACAGCAGCAGCAACAGCAGGGATGGGCATGCTGCCATTCTTCCCGAATCAGCACATTGTTGGACAAGCTATGCCAGGGCAAAATAATGCTCCAGATAAACCAGCGCCTACCGAAGCGGTTGTCTCGGGATCACAGCCCTATCATCAGACCTTAACAAATCTTTCTGCGGGAGCTTTGAGGGCTGGCCATGCCAAACAACAAAACCAACTAAAAAGTACTGATGCAAATTTGGGGGTAAGGAGCATTGAACACAAATATTGCCTGGTTTTAACTTGTGTTTGGATTTTCTCTCTCTGGTTTTCACAAGCTGAAGAGTTAACTGCAACTGCTTGGGGTAGCTCTTCACTATAAAATCAGTCCGATCACAGGATCATTCATGAGACATTTTAAGGTCATTTCAGTTATAAATAATAGGGAGAGAACAATAATGCTCTTTGGTGGTCCAAATGAATTAACAAAAAGAATCTTTACAATGCTGGAGGGGGTTTTTCCCATGTGTATCCCTCATAGCATTTGATGATGAAATTATCTCGAGGGCAATGTCTCTTTTATAGTCTGAAAATTGAACTTGTGTTTGAATTTCATGACTAATCGGGAGCAGTTGTGGTGGTATGAAGGGCCTTTGGGTTTCCAGGTGGTGTCTGTTTATATATGTGTATATATACATATGTGTATGTAAATTTTCCCCTTTTAATCCGCCCCCTCTTAGCCATAGCTGACATACTCTTAGTCTGCATCAGTTCTAATGTTTAGTCCCTTGAAGGAAGCAAGTGGAGGATGATGGGATGGGATTTAAGTCGAACCAGAATGGGCTATTTTTCTAAGAAGCTTTTTCCTGTCATTAGCAAATATACTTTTTTATGTAACATACATAAATACTTTGACATTTAGGAGGAAACATGATCTTCATTCAGATCAGATCTTTTTCCTTACATACTTCTCTGAAGCACCTGAAGTGATTATATGCAGTATTGGTGTCTGCCTTGGTTAGACAGCTTGGACAGCTTTGGTCCTGCTTCAGAAAGGGCACTTTGCGTTATATATATATATACCCATATGTATATACACGGATGAAATATGCAGGGTTCTTGTATATACACATATAAAGTCAGTTTTATCTCAGCATTTTGTCGAGTTGAAAGAAACCATTGGAAGTTGATATAATTCATTTATTTCTATGACTATTGTTTATTAGAAAAAGTGCTTTTTTTAAACCCTAGTAGATGTTTTAATTGTTTCTTTTCTGCATCAATAGACAGAAGTCCAGTTTGCAAAACTCCCTTCCTTGACAAGACAGGCACAGTCTGTGCTGGTAGTGAAGGGTCACAGTGAAACGCCTGCTTTTGCATCCAGATGAAGGATATCAGCACTCTGTTGAAGTTCTTTGTGTTTAAAAACTGGCCTCACTGTCTTTAAAGAGTTGTTGATGACTAGTATTTTACTTAAAGCAGTATTAATTCATTAAAATAATGAGGTTTTTTTCCTTAATGGGCTTTGAAAAAATGAGCAGATATAGAGTAGAATACTGCATAAACATCTTTGAGCTAAGTATTGCAGACAAGCTGTATAACTGCTATAGCTACTTCATTCTTACTTCTGGTATTTGTTTTAACATAAAGTAATTAAGTATGGGCTTATAAATGATCAGTAAGATGAGTTACAATAGCAGATCTCATACGGGGTCATCTCTCCAGGGTTCATTTTTCATGGAAATCCAGCCTAGTTTGTGTTGGAAGGTACCTTAAAGCTCACCCAGCTCCAACCCCTGCCACGGGCAGGGACCCCTTCCACCAGAGCAGCTTGCTCCAAGCCCCTGTGTCCAACCTGGCCTTGAACACTGCCAGGGATGGGGCAGCCACAGCTTCTCTGGGCACCCTGTGCCAGCGCCTCAGCACCCTCACAGGGAAGAGCTTCTGCCTAAGATCTAGCCTGAATCTTCCCTGTTTCAGTGTGAAACCCATTGCCCCTTGTGGTATCACTATCGTCCCTGATGAAGAGTCCTCTGGGTGAGAAGAGTTGCTTTTGTCTTGGCCATGTTCTTAATGCTAACTCCCTGTATCTGGAGTCATGATGGTCATTATTATTCCTTAGCTTGAATATAAAAGGTTTTCTTTTGTTTGTTTCTTTAAATATCCTTTAATAACTTGCAGTCTAAAGAGAAACATGCCTCCAAAATTACTCGGCCAGAAAAAAGCCCAGGCAGCGTGTCAGATAACTGTCCCCACTATTTATTTTCAGTTTTCTTGTTATGTTTCTTAGGGCCAGGGGTATTTCAGAATCTTCCTTACGTGACTCTAATGCAGTGACCTGCCCAATTGTTTTGCAGACTCCCTTGAAAAAACAGACTTCGCTACTAGGAGACCCACCAAAAGAAATCCGTCTTAGTACCAACCCCTACTTGAACTTGGCAAGTGTGTTGCCTGGTATATGTCTTCCAGGTAAGCAAACGTTTAGTGGGGTTAGTTGCAAGTTTCCTTGAATGAAGCGTGGCATCTGGTTATTCTGTTTGCAGATCATTCCAGCAACGGCATTTCTCTTTAAGGAAATCTTGTCTGTCTGAAAACCTCAGTGTAATCTACCCTCATAGTTATTTTATTTGGGTAAATTTTCAGTGTTAATGAATTTAGTGATGTAGGCAAGCTTTTGGAAAGCCTTTCAGTTATTAGTAGCACTGATTAATTTTGAGCACAACCTAATCTGAAGTAGCAGAGCTCTGGTTTAATCCCAGCACATTGCTAAACAGTTTATACATACCATGTATTCTTTGTGTTACAAACAGCAATTGCCAGCAAAGCCTCTAGTCCACCACAGCAGACTGGGCTTTCAAACAACCTCGTGGATGCTGCTGTGTCTCAGGGAACTACATCACAACACGCAATGGAAAACTATTTGAATTACTCCCAGCAGCATGGGGAATACACACAGGTGAGTTGGTTTGATGCTGCCTCCTGAAGCTTGGTTTGTCACTGGGAGCTCTGGTAGCAGGATTTTTGGCAGAGAGCTGCTCAGAGATCCCTCCCTGAGCTGCTCTTTGTTTTTCTCTATGGATTGTTAATGCACTTCTTCTTTTTCTCTGTGTACTGTTAATGGATTTCTTGGCACACATGTGGTGTGATAGCCCTGCATGCAGTTAAACAGCATTGCCCGACATCGTCAACCACTCTTGAGCAGTTCTTAGGCTTTCCTACAAAGAGAGCCCACGCTCTTGCTCAGATTGAACCTTGTCGCTCTTCCTCACTGATAGTTTCTCTCTTTCAGTGTGCAGAACAGATTTAGCACAAATTACACCTAATGCCAGTCAAAAAAAGCCTGAATATATTCCCTGCTTCAGTATCATAACCATAGACAGATTGCATCTTGAGAGCCTGAGTTCATTGCAGTTGGCTAAAAAATGACTTAGAACTTTTGGCTTGGCTTTTCTCTGTCTTCTGAAGCATGAAGTTTTTCTCTTCCCCTTCCCAAGAAGTTTAAAGTCTTCCTGAACTTTGGCTGGATGCCAGAGAAGAGTGTGTTCTGTCTACCAGAAGTTCCTGTATAGCTTGGGGAATTTCTGCACTCTCAGCCAGCTGGCTTCACTGCGTTGTATACCCTGTTTGGTGATCAGAGCATGGCTGTTGGTGTGGAGGGCTGCCCCGTGGCTGGGGGGGTGTTGCAGCACTGAGAGCAAGTAGCTGGGTTTCCCAGACGTTGGGACACACTGTGAAATACCATTTCCATAGTTTCATTATCACTGGTCTGTGTGGAAATACAACTACACGCAAATGAAATAGGAGAGCAGGATCATAGTGATCTGTATAAAATCTGTGCTGAGACACCCAGCCTGGCTCTGCTCTGTGTCTCTTCCTGCCCTGATCTCTCCTCCCGTGGCAGGGAGGCAGAAACAAGCTTTGTCCTCTTCGCTGCTGGCAGGGAAAGCTGTGTTGTTCCCAAACTCCTGAGGTGGAGCAGGGCTGCTATGGGAGTCATTGGGTCTGGGGTTGTCTTGTATTAGGAGGGTCTCAGCCTGATCAGGAGAGGTTCACTGCAGCAGGGAGCTGTGCCAGGGGCCAGACCCATCTTCTCATCGGGTCAGACCTGGAGTATGTCTAGTGACAGACCTGGTGACAGTTGTGGGTTATAGAAGCATGAGGTATGTCCTGTGAGCCATTGTGCTTTGTGTTTCATGTAAGCACTAACGTAGTCTTCAGTAGTTTGTTTAAATCTGATTATTGGCTTTAAATATATTTTGATGTCTCCTGGAGGTAGTTCCCAACCCCAAACCCTTAAATACTATCCCCAAAATCCATAGTATTGTAGGATAAATGTTATTAATGTTATCTTTAGTAACACGAAGGACTCAAAGGATGTCTCTGAGGTGCAGAGGTGCCACAGTCACCACTCAGCTGCATTTTTGTACTGCCTGTTCCTTCCACGTGACAGAAACTGCATTGTACTTGTGTCTGCTGCCAAAGCAGTGATGCCTCATGTATCTTCTAAGCACTTATGTAGTTTAAATGTTTGGTTTGAGCATTGTCACTGGTGTTAAGCATGTTCTGATGCTTCTTGGAGAGCTTTGCCTTTTATTCTTTCTCATGTCCTGCGAGGCCATTGGAATTGCTTTCATTTAAAGTCATCTTAGTAGACAGCTAATGGGAAGAGGTTTTCTCCTCCTTATAGGAGGCTGTTCAGGAGTGGTATCAGCATTATGCTCAGGCATATAACCCTACCCAGGCAAGAGTTGATGAATTTGAAAATGAAGCCTCTGAGGTGAGAAATGATTCTGTTTTCTTCCTGTCTCCATTGGCTGTTTCACCCATCAGCTGCAAGGCTGCTTTTGGACTCTGGACACATGCTTTGGTTGTTGATAGTGGCTGCTGCTGCCATTGGTACTGCAGGAATAAGGGGCTGGAGAGTGTGGGATGGATGGCACTGCATGGTCATGGTCACCTTCTAGAAGCAGGGCAGCCCTGCACAGTTTCCTCCAGGATTCATCCTCACGCTTCCAATTGTACCTGCCAGGAATATCCCTCTGTAAAATCCCACAATCCAGTTACCTGTTACAGGTCAGGAGTGTATTAAAATACTCCTACCAGGAAAGAGCACACCATAACGTTAGTTCCCAGTGAGTGGCTGCAGGATTGTTCTCACCAAGGCCATTACATGGCCCAAGGTGTCTGTGAGTTATGAGAAGCACACTTTGATTTATTAAGGAATAGTGTAAACCATCCCCAAATTCATGATTTTGCTCAAGAAATCTCTGCATGCCTGAGCTGCTGTGAACTACACGCTCCTTTTAGCAACTGAGTGTGACTCAGATGTTTTCATACCTGCTGAGTGCTCATTGTTATACCAAGTAAAAATGAATTGTTAAACCTTTTCTCTTTCACCTTCTGGATGGTCGTGGATCGCGTTCTGCATTTAGGATTCTACAGGTGGATCTTACCCAGACTACGGTCCCTGCTTGCAGGTCATGCCTACACTTTACAGTGGAGCCCAGGGATCATACCAGCCAGGCAGCTTGCAGCTTCCTCCACAAACCCCATTAACTAAGGTGAGAGGAGAGATGGGGCAGAGCTGCTGCTGGTGGAGGTGCTGCTTGTTTGTCTTGTGCTGCCACCGAGTGGACTTTGGACCCACGACAAGCCAAGGCAGAGCTTTTCCACTGCATCCGTGCTCCTCAGGATCCCGAGTGCCTCAGGATCACACGCAGTTCCTGGTGGATGTGATACATTAAAGCAGTGGTTGGGCAGAGTGTGCCAGCGCCAGGCCCCCTCAGAGCCCTCCGGCACCCTGGAGATCAGTGCTCCACACTGCCCACAAACACCAAACCAAACAAGCCAAGGTGTTACTGAACAAATATCTTGGAAGGATGGTCTAGTGGAAGGTGTCCCTGCCCTTGGCATGAGGATAGGAACTAGATGGTCTTTAAGGTCTCTTCCAACCCAAACCACTCTAGGATTCTATGGTCTGTGAGGGTGGATGTGCAAAAATGCCTCAAAGGAGGCACATTAAGTATAAAGTGAATAAAGGATGTAGTTCGTACTGGGTTTAGATGATTCTTTTTGCCTTGCATGCAGATGTTTTGCAGTGAGTACCACTGGGATAGGACCTCTGAAGTGGAGTGTAGCAAGTCAAGGCAGTGTCCAGGTTACCAACAGCCTCCACTCTGTAATACTCTTAACTGGATCTTGGGAGGAAAACCATTTTAACAGATGTCAGCCCGACTCATTGAGTGAAGCTGCTTTTTTGTCTGTAGCACCTTGTAGACCCTTCATTTTCATCAATAAAAGATGTGAGAGGGATGGGGAAATGCTGTGGAAGCAGTGAGGACCAGATTACAGGAGGCTGTAGTCTGGACTAACAGGAGGCTGGTTTAACACAGGGTGAGACAGTGGGGATTAAAGCTTTATTCAGTTTGAACAAAGGACTTTTATCATTTCCTGAGTGCTTCAGAAGTCCTGAGGAATTCAAACCCCATGCTGTAAGTAAATCACATTGCTTCTGGATGGGAGAGACCTTAAAAGCTGGATTATCATCTGGTTTGGAGTGGCTGCAGGCAGGTATGCCCAACAAGCTGCTGCCTTCCTGATCCTGCCCCAACCATGAGACCCGTGATGATCTCTCTGAAGACACTGACCTGGCTTTCCAGCCTCTGAGGCAGCTCGTGGCCCTCTGCACCTTGTCTGGGCACACCAAGAGGCTGAAGCAGCAGTCGCAGCAGGGAGAGCTCAGGGGCCCAGCCTCCTGCCTGTCTCTGTCGTGACAGTAAATCCCTTTGGTGCGTAGAGGGTAGTAGGTGGATTCAGCACATGATGTTCTGGCATTCAGAAACTCACATCTCAGACTTGGCATGAGATTCTTGGGTTTTGGAGGAGGTTTAGGAGCACACAACTGTAGCAATCCGTGGTTCCTAGACAGGAGACAAGGCCTGGCCAGAGCTGGTTTTGGCTTAAAGATGGTCAAGGCTTGAACACGTTGCCATGGGCTGTGAAATCTCTTGCTCTTTGCAGCAAAAAGCTTTCAGGTTCCCAGCATATCTGGAAACGAGTGGAATTGTGACAAGAGGAGGAGGTGGTCTGTGCTTTGAGCTAACTGAACCCTTCAGTTCATCTCGAGTCTAAAGAGGAAGGTTTGAGTGTGGAGGTGATGCTGAGCAGTTGCTCAGAAGCTTGTCTCGATGCCAGATGCCATAGGAGGCAGGAGAGCGGCCGGTCCCTTGGCACAGTGAAACACAGAATCATTCCTGGAAGCAGGAGATAAATCCCAGTGCAGGGGGCACACAGGCTGGTCCCCAAGAGGCTCAGTGTCCGTTCAGTGTGTGCTCACATGTGCATGTGCTTGCTTTAACCCTGCAACCTGTTTTCCCCCTGCTGCTGTGGGCTGGGGTTTGGAGGTCAGAAGGAGCATGGTTGGAGGCTGTATGAAGCATGTGGTGGTGATGCTGCGCTCTGCCACGTGTGCCAGGATACATGGAGGGTCACAGTGCACATGTGACAGCCCCATGGCTCTTAGAAGTGCAGGAGAGAGGATGGGAGGAAGCTGAAAGTCTCTCCTTAAGCATGGTCCTATTTATGATAATGACAAGAGCATCCTAAAATGAACTTGGACTTAGCAGAGGGCAATTTGATTTGTGACTGTGAATTAGCAAGGGATGCTTCTAGGAAGGGTTTGGCTCAGGGACATGTGGTCAGCTCAGCTGCTCCTTTGATTAAGGAAATAGCGTCCCAGCTTGGGAAATGTGTTAAGGTCCCTAAAATACTCACAGCAGCATGAACCAGAATCCCACAGCTTCTGATCTAGGAGCCAGGCCTCAGCCGGGACACGCAGCATGGCTGAGCAGGTTGTGGTGAGCTCAGGTTCAGGTGATTGATTGCTATGGGGCGGATGTTCAGTGGTGTCCAAGTGACTGTTCAAGCCATTTGGTAATTAAATTAATGACACATGGGGGGGGGGAAGGGAAATGGCACAGGGTGCCCAGAGAAGCTGTGGCTGCCCCATCCCTGGCAGTGTTCAAGGCCAGGTTGGACACAGGGGCTTGGAGCAAGCTGCTCCAGTGGAAGGGGTCCCTGCCCGTGGCAGGGGTTGGAGCTGGTGGAGCTTTAAGGTCCCTTACAGCCCAAATCATTCTGTGATTGTATGATTCTATGAAGTGGGTAAGTCCTTGATTAGGGTGGAAGGCTCTAATGTGGATGTGCAACTTCTGGTGCTGTCGGTGTGTGCATGGTGCAACAGCGTGCTCTGGTGGATCCCAGAGGGGCCCTGAACCTGAGCCTTGCATACCCTAAGGAGCACTTGGCAGTGGAGCACCAGTAGGTTCCCTGCACCCTCACTGGAAACCCTGCTCTGGGACCCTCTGTGCTTCCTGTGTAGCAGAGGCAGGCATTTTAATTGAAGCTTTGATTAAAGAACCATTCCTGCTCTCTCTTTCGCTTCGGTATCACGTGTAAGCTCATGTCTGCAAGTGGCACATGGTTACCCTTCATCCCCAACACACACCCACTCTGGCTGGCTGGCAAGCAAGCCCTGCAGCACCTGACTGGCTGTGATAGCAGGCCAGGACGGTTTAACCCTTTCAGCTCTCCGAGAGAAAAGAGGGATGAAAGGTGGCCTGCTGGTGCCTTACATGAAGGGATGGTGGTGCCTGGAGCGGCAGGGTGATGATCAGCACGGCTGTTACACATCTGCTTTTCAAACCCACACTGTGGAGCGGGGCTGCCTGCCCCAGCCAGCCCTTTGCCCTCACAAAAATGCATGTCCAGTGGGGCACCAGTGCATTTACCATTGGGTTTTGCCAGGGAAAGGGCACAAACACTGACTCATGAGCTGTGTATAGCCGGGCCTTCACGCCAAAGGAGTCGGCCCTTTGGAGTCAGTTCCTGGCTCCGGGTCCTTGATAATTCCCAGGCTGGAGCGTTATTTATTGAGGCCCTGTGCTCCGGCTCATGTGTCACTTGTTTCCTTGTCCTCAGGTGGCTCCAGCGAGGAGTGAGAAGCGAGGCTCCTCGTACCTGCTGTCCCCCCCCGAGCCCAGCCCCGTGGAGTACCTTGCCCAGCAGACTCAGGGCTCCGCAGTGCGTTACGCTGAATCCTCGCTGAAGAAGAAGCGCGTCTATTGACACCGCCATCGCCACTCCTGCCCCAGGGTGTGAGGGCAGGGTCTCGTACCTCTGCTATTTATTGCTGCCTTAACTTCAGACAAGTAATTCTTCTTTCTGTGTGGGTTAGAAGTATCCCAAGAGGAACAGCCTCTGCAACGGGCGCGCCTGCCGAGGAAGCGGTACGTATGGCGACGAGGTGAGCCGGGCCTCGGGAGTCTGGACTTGCCTTCTGAAGGGAGGGGATGGAGTCTCCTTTGTCATCTGCCACTGCCAGCCACAGTGGGCTGAGGCTGACAGCACTGAGGAACTGGGTGAGTGTGGGGAGCTTCCCAGCTGAAAGCAATACAAGTCCTGAGGAGGGATTGCTGAGCCTTCCTCTTCTCCCCGGACCCGAGGGAGTTAAAAGATGAAGTCTTGATAGTAATTTTTTCTTATTTTTTTAACTGAGAATGTGGGGTTTTTTTCAGTCTTACTTTTTCCAGGATTAAGAGTTCTGCATTTACAGCCTTTAAATTTTTACTATATTTCCTCTTAATCCTGGAATGGAGATATACCAAATGTATTACCAGAGCCTCTGTGATGTTTTCAATAAATGTTTGTTAAAAGTAAAATGCTGCACTGTGTGCTGCCTTGCAAGAGGAAAGTCAGCTGGGATAGGTGATACTTGGGCCATGCAGTAACCTTTAGCTGCTTTTAGGCCAAGAATCCACCCACAGCTTTTCCTTGGATAAGTCATTTGCAGGTTGTGAATGCAGCTGTGTAAAGCGGTGCATACCGTTAAGCACTGGCCTCCTTCAGTGGGTAAGGCAGGTATCGGAGAGGGGACAAAATCAACTGCCTTTTGTCCTTTTTGTGGCTTCTTCTGGATCTGGATGCTTCAGCTGGAGCAGAAGCAACACCCCCATACCCCTCAGATGATGGGTTGATCCTGCCTTCCTGCTCCTCAGTGTATTTATTCATTTTGCCAAGCATGCTTACCTTCTGAAACTTGCTGTGCTCCAAAGCCTGCTAGTGCAGAGCAGCCTGGCTCTGGGTTTCACTCCATACATACAACCTTTTGCATGTGGTAGTTCCAACTAGAGGAAGCAGTATTTACTCACTGACCTGTCCCAGGGGTGCAGTACAGCCTTGCACCCATGCACTGTGAACCACAGCACCCTGAGTATCCAGGCTGCCTCTGCCCATCTCCCCAGCTTGAGTATGTACATCTTTTCTCTTTAAAGACTTTGTATTTTTAGCTTACTCACTGAGCAGCTTAGAGCAGAGTCGCTCTTTGCTGCTGTTCATCCTTGTAGCTGAAGACTCAGAACTCCTTACTTTTGAAATCAATGTTTTTGACAGAGCAGTTATGAGCCAATGCTCTGTGACAGCCCTGGGAATCCTGCTGCAGATCCGTTTGGACTCAAGTCACTGAGCACTGAGGTCACAGCCGAGGTCTTTCTTAATCTTGCTGTAGCTAAAACTGAAGCCATATTTGTGGTACTCAAAAAGCAACAAAAAGGTCTTAACTTCTGCCTTTTAAGCTTTGTAATATGATCGGGATGCACACTGAACATAGATTTAGTTTATACTTGGTTCAAGGCCAGGTTGGACACAGGGGCTTGGAGCAAGCTGCTCTCAGTGGAAGGGGTCCCTGCCCGTGGCAGGGGTTGGAGCTGGATGAGCTTTAAGGTCCCTTCCCACCCAAAAACCTCTCAGCAGCTGTGCTGGATGCCCAGCACCCAGCAGTGCAGGTTCCAGGGGTGTTCCTGGGGTTCTACAGCGTGTGTTGATCAATGCACTTGTACTGGTTTGGTCCAACTGTTTGTATATGCAACTTTTTCAACTTCCTGTGCTTCTCAGTGGAAATAAATTGTTGGTACACAGCTAAAGTGGATTTCTGTGGCAGGAAAGCAGCTCTGGCCTACCTTTAAAGTAACCACTTCATGTGGGGAAAGGGTGTTTTGAAGTCAGCATGTTCTGATGCCACTGGAAAATCTTATTTTGGCCTTTTAACACCTAAAGGGGCCAACAAGAAACCCTTGGAGAGGGGCTTTGGAGAAGGGCCTGTAGGGACAGGCCAAGGGGAATGGCTTTAACCTGCCAGAGGGGAGACTGAGATGAGACCTTTGAGCAGCTTCCAGTGGAAGGTTCGGGGGGGGGGCTGGAACTCAACAATCTTTAAGGTCCCTTCCAAGCCAAATCCTTCTGGGATTCTGTGATCCCCAGGGAAGGGAAGTTACATTTAAAAACTTCTCTTTAATTTCTGATTTAAAAAGATGGGCACGTGGAGAAAAAGAAAATTTATTCATTGGATTTGTTTGTATAAAGAGTAACAAAAGCGCTGACAGATTGAAATCAGGGCCATGAGGGATGTACATACAGAAAAAACAGGTAATACTGTAAAAATAAATCTGACCTCCTTGCAGCTCATAATTACAATTATATATATATATGTATATATATATAAAGACATCTTTCTGTATGGCCAGAACTCACTTCAAAGCATTTTCAATGCATGATGGCCCAGGTTCTAGACCACAGGGCAGCAAAAGGTTTCCTGTTCAAGCACTGTTCCTTGAAGCCTGGTGGCTTCTCCGAGCCAAGCACCATTCCACACTTCACCTGCTGCTGAGTTCAACGCTCAGTCTGGTCTTGACACTACAGTGGTGGTGGTGGTGGTCCCAGTCCGGCCCCGCTGGCTTCTCTTTGGTTCCTTAATCCTGCCATGAGCGTGGTTTGAGTCCAGAAGCCAACCTAACAAAAGGCCAGTCACCATCTCAGGCCAAACGAAGGGCTTTAGAGAAGATCAGCAGAACTGACTGATACAACAGGCTGGCCAAAGAAACCACTGACCAAAACCTTACACGCGATGTGCGCGGCACCGCTGGTCACAGGGAGGCTCCAGGTCTTCAGCTCCTCATCCGAGATGCTCAGTCCTTGCTTTTAGCTAATTCTTGGTTAGGGGAGCTCTCCCCTGCAGCCTGTACATGGATTCCTATTCTTTTCCATTCCCAAAGTATGTAATGAAGTTCACAGCGCCAGAGCTCACTGCGGTGCCGGCTGAGAAGCGTTTGTAGGTTTAATGGCTACATAACCAGTGGAAACTTCAGCAGGTACAAATGGGTCGTGTGGGAGGGGAAAAGCGATTGCATTCATCCAGAAATGGGGTTTCTCACTGAAATGGGACGCTCTACATGTCGAGCCGTGCTTTTGGGGGTTGCTTTTTGGACCATCACCACAGTCAAGTAGTTCTTTTTTCGCTATGTGAATTGCTCAGAACTGCAGACGGGGTAAGACCAGCACATTCCTTTGTCTTCTCTGGGTTTTTATGCTAGATTTGGGTTTCTGTGATGAAAATTGGAGTGTCCATGGAGGCTGTTTGGCAAACTTCTTTTAAACCTCAAAACCCCATGAAAACTAACCTACTGCATTAAATCCTCTTACATAGTTCAGGTCTTCAAGGCCCACACGTGCCCAGCAGACTTGTTGCAATGCCACAGGTAGCACACGGAACACGGTCGGACATCACGGTAGTTCACATTGTGGCAAGACCATAATGGGCTAAAGCTAAAACTGCCTCGCACTAACAGCAGCAAGAAGAGTTGAAGCTATTATTTCTGCCATACCTTTTAATTCACTTGATCCAACTGTTGACTAAAATTCAAAAGGAAAACTATTGGAAAAAGGCTCCTTTAAACCACATTAGCACAGTCAGAGTACAAATTACAGTAGTTATATAAAAAACAATGACAGGTTTTGGGCATTTCTGTGTTGTCGCACATGGAAGGTACTGACAGGATCTACAAAACCATGAATTACATTTTACTCATAATGGTTTCAAATCCTTGGATCAGATTGTGAAAGGTCGTCCGTTCGTCGTGCTTGAAGATCCAGCACTTCCTCATCAGCTGGTCCACCTAACGACAACAAGAGGGGTTTATAAAGGGAGGAGTGTAGCATCCCAACCCAAATCACTCTGCGATTCTCTGGTTCAAACGAACCCAAGTTACTAACCCTGGACATGGGCTTTGTTACCTGGACAAAGCTTTTGGGAACAAACATTTTCCCCAAAGCTGTTAAAAAGGCAACAGATAGGATTAAAAGGCCAGGTTGGACACAGGGGCTTGGAGCAAGCTGCTCCAGTGGAAGGTGTCCCTGCCCGTGGCAGGGGTTGGAGCTGGAGGAGCTTTAAGGTCCCTTCCAACCCAAACCAGGCTGGGATTCTGATTTGTTTTCTCCAGTAAGTGTAATGGAGCAGATTCTCACTGCTTAGGAATGAACAGTGACAGAAACATGCCTCGGATTTTGATCAGAATTAATACATGCTATTAGTGGGGGGGTTCTTTGTTGAAGTAAAGGTGTATGTTTGACAGTGCAAGCAACTGATGCAGTGGTAGTGCTGACAGCTTGAACCGTGGCGTTGCTCAGTCTGGGTTCTGCACACCCAGGAAATGCATATTTCAAAAATCAGAAGGATTCTGAATGCATTTTACATGAATCCAGATGCTAAAGCAAAGTCCTTCACCCCTCTGAAGGGATGTCCCAAACTTGGGAACATCAGTACCAGAAAAAAACCCAGAAATGCCTTTTTAGCAGGTTTTCCCACTGGGATCTGGTGCTATTTGGTGCTAAAGGGCAGGCACGAATACAACAAACACATGGGCACAGCCATTACCTCCTCTGGGCAGCTGGGTGGCCGTGGCAAACGCTTCTCCTCGTGCAAGACCCGCACCAGCCGCGCCACCGTCATCTGCCCCTGCGTGGGGCCGATCATTTTCAGGAACTCCTGTGGAAAGAGCTGTGTGAGCCCCACATCCCCCACCCTGCACTAATGCAGGGAGTTCCAGCTTGGCATTAAGGTGGGCTTTGCATCCCGAAGTGAAAACGAATGGTGGGTGCTCGTTGTAGAGACAGCACACACCGGATACTTGCAGTAGGAAATAGTAACGCTTACATGCAGCTTCCTCAGCAGGATGTGCAGTCACAACTTGCCTCTGTACAGGCTCTTCAGTGAAAGACAACCATAAGGGCTGCTTTTGTCAGAGAGTCATCAACTTCTTGTTCCCCAAAATATTTATTATATATAATATATGTATGGACAGAGCCTTGGGTGAGATGCTTTAGTGTGAGGTGTCCCTGCCCATGGCAGGGGGGTTGGAATTGGATGATCTTCAGCTCCTTTCCAACCCTAACTATTCCATGATTCTATATCCGACTAAAGCTACTTGAGCAGCCATTTCCTCCCCAACCACTTACTGCCATGGGGCTGGACTCCGAGTCACAGTAGGTAAGCAGCTCGTACAGTGTCACCCCGAATGACCAGACATCCGAGGCGATGTAGAACTTACTCTGAAGCAAGCATTCTGGGGCATACCTGTGGACACAGCACAACAGTGTTAATCTTCATCCAGAGCCACACAAATCTCACGTATGCACCACCCATCTGTATTTAAAGTGAACTAAAGAGACACGTTCTGCGTTTGGAGAGTCCCTGCACATAAATGAATGTGTCCATAGGGCTTGTGATGCCACAGAAGTGACAAATGAGGGACAACTGTTACACAGTGAGTCGCTGTGAAAGCAGACTAAAAATCATGGGAATTAAGGTTTTAAGTGCAGGAAGAAACAA